AAAAAAAAAAACTAAAAGAAATTTTTCTAAAGTTATTTTGGCCCGCCACTGTCCACCTATAAGCTTGATCATCATGAAAGTAAATTCCTCTTCCTCATGCTCCAACGCCACTAGTCAAAATGGCGTTGATCTCTCCAATTATATTAACTGGTCTTCCATCAAACATCGATGAAAGTGTACTCTCACATAGTTTTTTCAACTCCTTTGTTTTTGCCACAGCCGCATCCTGAAATTCACTTAACAGTTAATTTGACTCATGTACAAGACCGGTAAACAACATGTAAAGTTGAGTTGTCACATACAGGAACACAGATTTTGGTCGCACGAGCATCAAATAACTAAGAATAAGACAATGGAGAGAAAGATGAGTTTTAATCTGTGTTGCTTATTAAAAAGGTAAAAAAATTGGAGACTGAAGCTATTTGCAGATCTCTATCTCCAAGTAGAAGAAAAACTAAAAGTGAAAAATGGAAATTTGACCCTGTTCTGTTCTTGTAGCAAACCATCACATAATTGTCTTATCAAAAAATAAGTGCAAATCAGTCATGCAACAAGATCATTTTGCCGATAATGAACCCACTCTTATCTCCGTATGTGCTATCTGCCATGCAACATTTAGTACTTGTTCCCTTTTTATAAAAAATTGAATCTCACTCTAGAAAGAAAATCCCAACAGAGAACTTGCATAATTTTATAGTGTTTTCTGCTTGTGCGGGTGCGAGAGGGAGGGCGCGGGGGGACGAGGTGGGGGAGTGTGGGGACAAGAAAAAATTCTCTCGGGAAGTTCATTAGATAAAATTGATTCTCTCTTTAAAACCGACTTCACTAAGCACATAATGTAAACTAATAGTAGATGAGAATCCTGCCAGAGGACAGAAGCCGTGGTCTGATTTCTCTATTCTTTTTATATTATTTTATCTTTTACTGGGACCTGAATGTTTCAAAGTTTTTTGACACGGCATATTCAAATATTATAACCTAAAAGGAAATTATTTTATACACATCTCGGAGATTAAAAAAATTATTAGAATAGTGAATTGACTACCCTTAACACAACCAGGTAGCTAAAATAGATATATGAACTTGTTACTATTTACCACAATGAAGTGTACGTGGTAATAAGCTAGTGTAGGGATTAAATTTCACTTCTTCTGCAACAAAAACAACAGGAACACAAGGGATAGAGAGAGAGAGAAGGTAGTTATTATACTACAAATTTGAAAATCAGTTGAACACTACAAACTCTACCCCCTCATAAATAACAAGCACACATAGGTAGAACTTACTTGCTTGGACCATGAAGAAGATAGAGAATTTTGCAGTTCCATCCGTTTAGCAGCCAAGTCCTTCAACCCTTCTCTCAACTTGACTTCATGATGTTTCTTTTCCTCTAATGAATTGACTAGTCTGTCTAGAAATCTAAAATTTGGCCGAACACCACAATCAATTAACATAGATCATATACAACAGGATACTACTAAAGAAACAGCAAAAATAAAGCATGTGACGTACTAAATTTTGTTAGTATACTTAATGTGGTTTGTTGAGTAACTTTCAAAATTTAACAAGCATGCTTACAAGCATAAAACAACAAAAAAAAGGGCAAGTTCTTCACCCTATACATTTTATCAATTTGAAAAATGTAGAAAAGAGAAAATCATGCATTAAAATGCCATCCCGTTAGTCTTTCAAGTTACATAGTAATACAGAAATAGACCAAATGAAATTCACCAAAAAATCATCATCTTAGTACACTACACAATAAATCAATGATTGAAGCTTTGATCACTGTCTTTTGTTATGCAAGCAAAACATTCCAGACTTCAAAACAAATTATATTCAGTCCAACTATGGCCGAACCTGAACAATTATGTCTGGCAGTTGTTTTCAGTACATAACTTTTATACATTAGTTGATATTTTCAAATACTAATTTCAACGCATCCAATAACCATAGCAACCCAAATTTGAGACGACATCTGATACATCAGGATACTTAGTGAATTAGTATATATACGAAACTTTAAGCATAAAATATAAAGAAGTACCTTTTGGAGTTGAGAATCATAATCAAATCCCTCGTTTTCCTATTTGTCAGCAATGAAATTGCCAAAGAAATATCACTTTGCATAGTTTCTATTGCATCAGAAGCGTACTGTTGTAGCACAAAGGGGGCAACTGCCTGAACTTGATTTTGCAGGGACAAAGTTTCGTCATTCCTCAATTCAGCCAATCGTTGATTTAAAAAGGATTTCACCTAATGTCATACACAATAATTACAAATTTTAAATTTAATCAGAAAAAAAGAATGACATCATATGATAAATTCATACAGTATATGTAACTGCTTACTTGTAAGAAAAATACCATAAAAACAAAATTTGCTAGAATTGTGGTTCTTTCTCTATATGATAATTGAAATTATATTATCAAATCGAGAACTTATCCAAGTAAAGACAGTAAACTAGCATAGATGTTATATACCTCATATAGATCATCCAGAATCTTATTTCTGTACTCCGTATCTAAAAGTTGGCTCCTTTCTTCCTTGTTTTCTGTCAATTTTGATAGGGCATCTGGAAGAGAAGTCTGGGTCTCCAACACTACAGTTGGGGCACTATCATCATCAATGACATCAACCTGAGGAGTATCCACACTAATATCCCAAGATATATCTGCATGTGAGCCCAGTTCTTGGTTTGATACTGTTGGATCAGATCCGATATCAGAGGCATTAATGATTTCATAAGGACCCAATCCATTACCATTATCCTCAGTTTCTTCAACAATTCCAATGTCCCAATCAATTTGTGAACTCTCCACAGAAATATCCCAGTCAATGTCAGGCACAGCAATTGCAGCATTGCTTGTTGCAGGATTCAATTCATTTTTACTTGCATGAACATTCACGTCACTGATAATGTCAGAGTCAACAGCAACATTTAAAGATGGGGGGTTTTCACGCATATTCTTCAAGTTTTGTATTACATCTCCCAAAGATCTCTGCAGTATCAATTTTCATCTTAAATAATGTGTATACTGAAACATGTCAAAAAGAGTTTATTCATGAGAACTATAAAAATGAATAAGAATTTTAATATTTTCTTACATCCTTTTCAGTGTGAGCATCCCTGACAAAATTGGTATAATATTCAATTGCCCGGGACATGTTGTCATTGTTCACAACATCTAGAATCTTGCGAAACGTGCTTGGAAGTAATTGTGCTGTCTCGAGAAGTTCTACTCGGACATTTTTCCCCTGCAAAAACAATATAACCATACACCATAAAAATAAGATGCGTTCAACACACCACAACAATAACAACAAAATTTTTATCCCACTTTGTGTGGTTGGCTATATGAATCAAAAGGAGCAACGTCGTGTTTTCTCAGGAATATAAATCAGCATAAAATTCCTTTTCAAACTGCTACCGAAATTGTTTCTACACAACATAAACACCCACAAAAGTCAAACCTGTAATCCAAGCTCCTGGCAAGCTTCAGCGTACTTGGCCACTGAGAGCGCAGCACTTCTTTTAATATCAGCTTCCTTGCGATCTAGCTCTAACAGTTGCTGCTGAATCTTCTGAACCTGTTTCCTCTGATAAGGGCTTCACAATGAAACAAAAACTAAGCAACAAAAATAAAACCCGGAAGACATGAAAAACCCAAAGATGACTATGCTCACATTTCATAGCTCACATTTTGAAT